AGGATTGTCTAGTTTATTTTAAGGATAAGAAATTAGAATAATATTAACACTCATAACTTTAATTTTATACCTGTGTGTTGAAAAGCAATGACTGCTTGATACACTTCTTTCCAAGGAAAGACACAACTTCCACGATTAGCAAGTAATTCAGATATTTTTCAATGAAAAAACAGTAACTTAAGAGAGCAAAACTTTTTTCTAAGGAAAACAGCAAGAAGTAATACCTAGTTTTTCAGGCATAAACAGAAAAAAAAAAAGAGAAAAATATCAGACTACTCAAAATGTTGTTTAAGGAAAATATTCTTGGTAATACAAAAAGTAAAGCTCGTTTAGAGTAAGCGTTTGCAATTGTTTCTAGTGATCTAGTGCCTGGGTCTGGTAATTGCAGAACTTCCATAGGTGAATGGAAGAAGGTTTTGCTGCTGAGCTTTTTAGCCTTTTCATTGCCACATCACGTAATGTAGCAGGGATGTCTCTGCTGCTGCTGAGTGTACCAGCCATGCTGTTATATTCCACTGTGATCCTGGTGGATCATCCACGCTTCAGTCGGACCTTGTCACCTCAGTGCAGTGTATTACCAGCAGTGATATAGCAAATCAGGCTCTCGAAGCATGTATAGACCCCTGGCAATGTGTCCAGCACTTGTGCTGTGCTGAGCTGTTTGCCTTATACTTACTCTACCATGTCACAGTCACTTGCTACCTTACTAACTTTCTAATATATTATTAATTTTTGTGGGATAAGATAATTTGAAAACAGTACGCACAACAATTCTGAAACACTGCTTATCTGAGACTTTTCTGGTTCAGTCTGTGTTCAAGCAGAGCTTTATGTTGCCTGTGGCATAATCAGTCTGGGGAATACGGCAAAGCAGGAGATAGGTGACCAAATGGGTATGGAAGTTATATGACCAGAGAAAAGAAAACAAGTTTCTGTGTTGACTTGTAAACTGATTTCTTCCTCTAATCTTTTGGAGAGAAAGGGGAGCTAGAAAGGCGGTACCATTTTTATGAAAATAAAAGGATTTTCTTACTAAATGACTATCCTGCAAGATGCTCTGTGCTCTTAACTCTTCTTGGAACCAGTGATGTTGGAGGGTATTGGTCACTTCACAGGACTAAACCGTATGTGAACATCGTCATAAAGATACTGTAATACATAAAAGCAGCCTTCTTTCAGAAAGTTTGCAATGTGAGGGTCTAATCTAAGGCCTGTATAAGTCTTCAGGAGTCTTTTTGGTTCAGGCTCTAGGGTAAGTATAATATGATGGGCTGTAATATAATACTTTTCTGTCTCAATTCTTCTAAGGACAGCAACTTCTGTAGGACATGAAGGTCCATCCATGCAGGTCTGATAGGCTGAGCATGATTCATAAAAAAGATGCTTCAAAAACTTCAGCAATGGCATGAAGTCTTCAAATGGAGGGTTTCTGAAACAAAAGGAAAAATGGGAAGAAAGGGAGGGTAGCTTCTGTTTGTGTTTAAGCTGCTGTGGGATAAACGAGATTATGAATGTTACACATTTTTCCTTAATAAATTGTCTTACGTAAATGAACTGTTTAGTCTCATTAGGAGCACCTTCCGTCTGCCAGTGAAGTCTTACATTTATTCCAAAATGTACTTTCCTTTAGCTGATGGCAAGAACAGATTGTAGATATGTTTATTGAGATACACTTCTAAAACTGCTAGTCCAAGAGAGGTTTTATCTCTGCTGTCCAAAAGGTTTGTCAGTCTTCAGAAGAGCGTATATTTGTGGGTTAAATGATGGGAGCTTTAAGGTGCCATCAAAGTTAGAAGAGTGTTTATGAAAATAGGAAGATAAATGCACCTTGACTCAGAATTCTTCTGCCTGTCAACCAAGTGCCAACAAGAGATGAGGAAGAGAGGCTGTTTCATGGCCTTATTGCTGATGAGGAAAAATTTACATTTGGGTTAATAAGAAACTTGTGGCAGCATTTAGGAAAAAAATATGGTCAGCTGCTTTATTTTGTTTAGCTTTTTAAAGTTTCTATGGTTTGTATTACACCTTGGAAGTTTGATGTGGGGCACCTTCCTTTCTGCATAAAGCAACTGTATTTAAAAAAAAAAAAAGCACTTTTTATTAATTTGTTTTTGCTGCAACAAACTTGATAGGCTTTCATAAGCTTGTTTTGATTGTAAGGATTTCAGAACATCATTATCATTGTTTTTTGGAATTACGGAGAAGTTCGTATTGTCCATCCTGTCCAACGGGATGTCAGTCAGTCAATGCTCTTGGTCATTTCAGACATCCTTCTTTGCATGAGAAGTTCTACCTAAACAGTATGCCAAAACATAACTTCCAGAATTTCTGAGCATTAATATGACGTGCAGCAGATTTAACATTAGGCAGTATCTGAAAGACTTTGGTACGTGTGTCTGCATTGTGCTGACCAGTTCATAGAATCATAGAATCATAGAATCATTTAGGTTGGAAAAGACCTTTAAGATCATCCAGTCCAACCATTAACCTGACACTACCAAGTCCACCACTAAACCAGTTAAGGGTAGAGTAATAATTTAATGTTTCCATCAGTCTGTCTTGTGTGTGAAATCTGATTTTGGACTGTTATGCTGAAGCCTTGATTAGAGACACAAAAGGAAGGAACAGAGAACCCGTGAGAAAATCAGTCTGTTATGAACAGCATAAAGGTCTATTCTTCTACGCCAAAAAAGAAAATGTGCCCATGAAATTTTTTTTGTTTGTGGAAGTGTTTTTTGCAGTCAGAGGTGGCAGTCAAGACCAAAGTTGTATATTTTTTCCTTCAAAGAAAATGGGACTGAAGTGGGGATTTTTTTCCACTTCAGATCGTCTGTCCTTGCAGATAAAAACCTGGGCCATGGTTCCAGTACGTGTTGAAAGAGGTGAGAATCTGCATTATGCAGGAATCTGAATCCAAGAGACCTTTAGCTTCTGAGACAATCTGACTCTAAGCCCTTACTAATTTAATTTTGGTTTGCAAGCTTTATCATAACATACTAAGTAGTAAAGTATTTGTGGATAAGATTATAATATTGGCTATGGTACTTTGATTGACTTATTATTTACTGGAACAATGTACAAATTAGTCTAAAAAGAAATCTGATTAGCACTTTCCTTTGAAGATCATTTTCAGAAAATGGCCTCCAAATAATTTCTACAATGTTCCTTCTCTATTTGCAAAATGACTAAGACACCCCACAATGATTGTTCTGGGAGAAACGTACAACAGATGATTAGTATAATTGTTTAATATTTGTGCAACACTTTGACAGTCATAAGTGTTCTATGCAGTAGATACAGTAAATTACTACATAAACTGTGGGAATAGTAGTTTAATTGTTTAAAAAAAAAATTCAACATCTGGTGTCCACAGTCTGATTAAAGGCCAAACATGTTAGACTACTAAGATTGAATCAAACAGAGAAATTCTGGCAAAACCTGAACCTCACCTGTGAAAAGGTAGGTAGGTACAGTTATCCATATATTAACCTTTTATTCCTTATATAACTTTTATGATAGATAAATACCACATTTTACACTTAAAGAACCTGCAGGAAGAGGGTGTAAAAAGCAACTTTCCTGACCTTCCAATTATAATTTACCAGCAAGGTGTTTGGTTGATGTGGTATTGCTAGCAAAAAGCATAGTGAACATAATCCACAGCTAAAGTTGGTGATACGAGCAGGCTGAATTTAAGCTGGTGACTACAGTTAAAAGGTTTGACATACTCCATTACTGATCCACTGAGCTTTCCAACTACTCTCACATCTTGAAAACAGTAACTGGCACACCTTGACCATCACCCGGGCTTGTGCATCAAGCTCCTGTGAATGTCCATTAAACTTCATGACTGCAGAAGTAGCACAGACTCAGTCTTTAGTCTGCTTTGCTAGACCATGCCTTGGCAATGTAAAAATAAAACAAGATTTGCAAGTGGTTCAGGTGGTTTTTGTTTGGTTTTTTTTTTTTTTTTTTTTAGTACATTAATGATGACTAAAAGTGATAATTAATGACACAGGACCATTGTAATGTTTTGTTGTACAACTACCTATCCATGAAGTCCAAAATCTTACACATTATTATATTAACGTAAAATAAGTTTTGCATTTGGTATTGTCTCTCTCAAATCTCTTCTTTATCCCACTAATTTCTAGTAAAGTTTTTTTAAATTCAGAACTGAATGACATGTCACCACCTAAACTGTAGTGACATGCCATGGGATTTCTCACGCTGAAATCCTGTGTCCAAATGGCACTAGTCGGTGGATCCATCCTATACCTGCTCCAAGTGCCATATTGGCTGAAGGAAGTGGGGAAAAATGCTCTTTCCCCATGCAAAAGAGTTAAGTTAGTTCATAGCTTCTCTGAAATAATTTGACATTTGTTTAAATCGTGAATAAGTACGATGTGTGATGACCCTTAGAACTGGTCACGTGTTTCATTCTGAACTGCAGACCCTCCTCTCTGCAAATAATTCTCAGACAATTTTGAGTGTTTTTCTTTTTTGTGTCTGTAATTTTTAAATGTATATGTATTTGCGTTTACGTTCTTGAATTCCTTGTGAATGCCTGTGTTTGATTAGGAATCATTCATGAGGCAATAACTTTGTTTACTGTTCATTATTCATGCTTGTAGAAAAACATATATTCACTGACTTGACGACCACAGCTTTCTAAAGAGGAAAAGTCTCTTTTTTATGGTTCACAAATTGTCCAGTGTTTGTAGATGACAAACGTAGTATGTGAACAATAAAAAAGACCTTTTCCTAAATGGCCTGTCTAGTACTAAATGTTTCCAGGTTTGTTTTCTATCACCATTTTTAAACAGGAATGTTATCATTTTTAAGTAGCAGTAAACTAACCAAAGCATTATTAAATTAAAAGAAATTAATGGAAACACCTGATTTTGTTATAAAAAAATACCTTAAGCAGGATATGATCCTTTGCAGTATATTTTTGTGTGTATTTCAAAATAGCTCATCATTGTAGCTGACCATAAAAAATGGACGAAAGAGAAGATTTGGTTGAAGATCTGCTCACTGACTATGCCATACAGCTTAGCGTTCAAGAATCAAATGGAGCCAAACCACCAATATCTTCCAGCTATAATGACAGGTACTGTCAATTCTGTAATTGTAACTGTGTGCCAGTCTTTCCCTGTGTATTCAGATACATACGTGTACAAGAAAAGTCCAAACCAGAACAGCGACAACAAAAAGCCTGCAGGGGTGTTCCAGCAAGGGTTCATACGTGACATTAATGTTACGGTTAAGAGTGGTTCCCGTGATTAGGAAATGTAGAGCTCAGCTGAGCTACGTGGGGTGATGAGAGCTTAGGGAGATGAGTTTCACTTGGCTAAACTAATACTCCCCTTAGCTTTTCAGGCCATTTACCTTATGAAAAGTGTATGTGTGAAACAAAGCTAAACTTTGTCTTAATAGAAGTTCTTTGGCAATAATCCCATAAATACATTTTGTAGATTGCCCTGTCTAAAATGGGAAGACGTAGAACTGTAAGGCTTGGGTGACTGTTAACCTTTCCTCATTTCCTGTGGGATCTCATGAAGGTTTGGGTCCTCATGGGGCTCTTGTTGTAGGACTGGAATCTCCCTTTTCACTGAAGGCTGTCAGCATAACCACTGGGTACTCTTGTTATTTGGCTGGGTTTTTCTTTTTATTAAATCTGATCTATTTTTTAATATGCTTTTATCACCAAAATATCTCAAAGAACTAGCAGGCACCAGCTTTTAACTTCCATCTCATGGAGGTTTAAATGGTATTGTTAAAAACATTACAACTCTTTTTCAGGGAAAATGGTACCATTGATACCATCAAACTGTCCGTCATTAGTGAATATTGATATTCTGACACCATCGCATTCTCATTCACTGTCTAAGGTTTCTGAATCTGAAGGGCTCATTTCTGTAGTGTGGGGCAAATACAGCTTTTTAGTCCACATCAGAATTCTTTACTAAATTAGATTTATCAGGTCAGCCTGTGGCAGAAAATGCACCTAACTGGAGAACTTTGGATACTCTGAAGGCCCACAGTACAGGTGCAACTTAGGAGGTCACAAGGGTCATCAAGATTGTAGCTGATGTATTCCAAGGAAAGTTGGTGCAGATGAGAACCTAATGGAAAATATTGAATAAATAATTAATGTACTTTTTGTTTATATTTTCTATTTTCTGCTCTTTTTTGGATAGTTTTGTACCACCTAGTGAGGAAAATAGGAAAATTGTAACATCCATAAAGCAAGGTAAAAACCCTAAAATAAAACAGTCCCTTAGCAAAATTGGGCTTCCCTTATATTATTTTTCCAACTGCATCTTGTTTATCTGTTGGATTTTTTTAAGGTCAAGTATTTGGGCTCCAAGAACTTGTGAAACACAAATATGCTTTGGATGAAGCTGATGGAAGAGGATGGTTTCCACTGCATGAGGCTGCAGCTCAGCCAATCCAGCAAATACTTGAAATCATTTTAGATGGTGAGTAAGGTAAAAATATCCCACAAGATAAGGGGAGCAGCAAAGAATCATAGAACAATAAACAGCTCTCCACAACAACAGGCTAGAACTGTTTACTAAAAAAGTATGATCAAATCCTCCATGGAGCATCTTGCTTACGTTGTATAAATATTCAGGCAAATTTTCTCTTTGGGAAAGTTGCATCAATTTACACCAGCAAAGAACTTGGACTGTTTTTAACATTTTGTTCAGAAACCTACAGACAGAGCAAAAATTACTGTTCGGTATTCGGTGTGTTTGGCAGTACTAGTTAGGTTAAGTTAAACATAATTACAAGTAACATTCATAAAGACTTAGCATTTAAGGATTTCTGGTATATGTATATGTATTAACAGCCTTGTGCTGTTTTTGTTTTATCTTTTCTCACTTTCTTACTTCTAGCATCTTATAAAACAATGTGGGAATACAAAACATGCGATGGAGAAACACCGTTAACTTTGGCAGCAAAAGCTGGCTTTGTGGAAAATGTACGAACATTACTGGAAAAGGGTGTTTGGCCCAATACCACAAACGACAAAGGAGAAACTCCACTTCTTATTGGTAATTGCCTCCTCTCCCTGGGTTTAAGCAAAGTGAATGGCAGCACTTCCCCTTCACTAAGTACTCACCCGAGTACTCCTGTTGGCTTGTGGGTTTAGATGCTGGTCATCTTTTTAGATGAAACTAAATGCCCAGCACTTAGTGAAATGTACCCAACCTTCAGTTCAGCACTCATTATGCTTCCAGTGATCACTGAGCTGCCCTTAAAGATGCTCCTTATGCTTTAGGTGATTGCTGAGCTGTTCCTAAGAAAATGGGACCTATTTTTTTGTTCAAGGCACCTTCTTGGTGTCCTCAGATACTGTAAGACCTTTACCCCAACCTGGTCCTATTTGACCATCTTAAGGTGCAAGTATGGTACAAGAATAAGGTTTAGTTTGAATGTACTTTTTCTGGAGGTCTGGAGGTTATTGGAGATTTTTAGTTTTATTGGATGGTTTCTTCAGAAGTAGGCAGGTATTTTCAATTTCAAAATCTCCCATCTCATTTCCCTCCCCTCTTGCGCTGAAAATAAGCTTCAACTGCATTTCTAAGTAATACCCCAATCTAAAGAAAGATGATTCCTCTGGAAGATTTTGTGCTATTGGTAGACTTAATTGAGCTTTACTATACATGAGTAATTTAGCTATATTAGCTTCTACTTTCTGTTGAATGTTGAAACATCTCCATTCTTCTGAAGAGAATCAATCTGTGAAATTAGTACAATATAAGAAAATACAATATATAATACAATTATCAGTATTAAAATATTCAGTTCTCTGAATTTCTGTTAACTTTCATTAGATGCTATTACCTTATTAGCATGTTAAGGCCCTGAGGCATTTCTAGAGGGTTCCTCTGCAGTGTCTTACTTTGCATTCTTTCAGCTCTTTTCAATACTTGTAAGTCTATGAAACTTTTAAGCTATTTTCAGCATTTGCTTTTAATGAATCCTACAAAGAGCTAACTAGACCTTATGAAAAGGGTCTTTTCCCCTTATAATGCCAATTTATTTTCCTAAATATTTTTCTATACAAACTCCTGAAAATGAGGTTTATCAGCTAAGTATTGTTTATTTAATGCTTTTTATATTTTTGTGTCACTTAGCACTGAAAATGTGGGTGTAGATACTGTTGTGCATCATACATTTCAATCTTAGTCTCAGTGAAATAGAGGATCAGGTGCTTACCACTTACTAGGTGATGCTTATGATTTAGTAACTTCTTTTAATTTTAAAGCTCTGGATTAAAGAGCTCCTCAGTACAAAGGTAAATGCTGAAGAAGTATCTATCTAGTGGGGTGATTTCTGCTTCCAGGTACATTTGGTAATACTCTACTTCAAAGCAATTGTGGATAATTATGAAGACTATTACCTCTTAAAAGCCTTCTTACTTATATAATGGGACATTCATAAAAGTTAAATTTGTTAACCCTATGATGCTGATCTTCCTCAGCTGCTCCACCAGTCAGTGGAGAGATCTGCTATTCCAAAGGGTTGTTCAGAAGTAAAATTAGACTCTTACTCAGGATCACTATTTTATATGTAAATAATTTGCAGATGTAGTTATCCATGAAAATTTCAAACTTGGAACCTCAAAAGGGCAGAACGTGGCCTTTAAGTATGACAGACGTCAACTGTACTTTGGCTGACAACAGCCATTGAGTACACATGAGGATTAGAGTTACCAGGTGACAAAGTCACAAGTGGAATTTTCTGGGGACACTGTAATGTTTGCACAAACTTTAGAAGTAAGGACCATATTTGAATATTATGTTATTTTTTTGTTGCTTTTCCTTGTGATACACCTGCTTCTGCTTTCTTAGAATCAAAGTGGTGCTGCTTTACCCTCCATGCTCCAAACTGACATGTTTTCCAGCTTGTGTTGGTTTACCTTGATTTTCCTAGCAGCTGACATTACCATTTATTTACCAGTAAATTGGATTCCTAGATTCTAGGACTGGAAATCTTTTTAATTTCCGGTACACAAGGAAAAGCTTTTCTAAACTTAGTAGATGCCTTTAACTTTCAAGGCAACATACCTGAAAATGTAATTGTATTATTTTCTTCCTTTTTTAAATATCTTCAAGCTGTAAGAAGGGGCTCTTTTGAAATGGTATCCACTCTGATTAAACACAACTGTAGTATCCACCAGCCATGTGTAAAACGTTGGTCAGCAATGCATGAAGCTGCAAAACAGGGACGCAAAGACATTGTTGCTCTTCTTCTGAAGAATGGCGGAAATGTGAACCTTAAGGATGGATATGGGGTAACACCATTAGGTGTTGCTGCTGAATATGGTCACTGTGATGTGCTGGAGCATCTTATTCATAAAGGTATGTAGTCAGGTAAAAGGGAAATACACCTCTGCACTGGCATACGTCTTGCCTGGTTGCTGAGGTGTTTTAGGGTGATCATGGAAAAGGAAAGAAAGAGTAGTGATGAATGAGGAGATTTGGTTGTTTGGAAGGAAAGGAAGCATCTATGAGTGTTCCTGCTAGACTGGAGTGATGCTTACACATTTCCATAATGCATGTGAGGGGAGTGGCAGAGTTGATACCAATCCATTTCAATCAAGGAGGGACTTACTGCTATACATGCTCTTCTTGCCCTTCTTTATTTCTCTTTACTCCCCTCTCCTTCCTTCCTTCCTTCCTTGCTTCCTTCCTCCCTCCCTCCCTCCCTCCTTCCCTTCGAATTATATTGGTACTAATTACTGAAATGAAGTATTTTTTAAATATGCCAGAATTTTGATATACACCAGAATTTTGAAAATCCTCAGTTCCAACACTTACAGTCAAAGCAGGTCCCACTCAGGTGAGCTTTTGAACTTGTATCTGTACAACTCTTGTTTTGCCTTTGAGTTTTAAATTTGCCAGAAGAGCTATTTCTTGTTTTAGTAAAGTTTTGACTTAAATACATCTGAAAATGAAGAGGAAGGTGCTCTGGGCTTGTTTTTATGATGATCTGCAAGTCACTTTGGATATAATTGTAAACTCTGTCTCCTCCTTCAAGGTGGAGATGTCCAGGCCTTAGCAGATGATGGTGCATCGATACTGTTTGAAGCAGCCGGAGGAGGTAATCCAGACTGCATAGCCCTTCTTTTGGAATATGGAGGAAGTGGCAACGTGCCTAATAAGGCAGGAGTGCTTCCCATACACAAAGCGGCTTATGAGGGGCATTACCTGTGAGTATGAGCTTGGATTTTACGTTTTCTTTAAGATACAGTGTGGCACAAGGTCACATTGAAGAAGAGCGTAGTAAACTTGCAAATGCATAGATCATTTATATTTCAGAAGTGCCTATGTTACATTAGTTTGAATTAACTTTTAAGGATTTTTTAGCATAAACAAAGCAAAATGCAAAACATACTCCTTAGTTCTAAGTGAAAACCACTGAAACAACTTAAACACAAGGTCCTATTTGACAGTGCTCAAAACTGGTGCTTCTGTGTTTGGATCTTCTTGTGTAAAGTGTTTAGCTGGTAATTTAGCACATAGCTGGATGAGGGTTGTTTTCTTCATGCAGGGAAGCGATGCCTAACTACCTCTATTCACTGTTTTTTAGGGCCCTGAAGTATCTCATTCCGGTCACATCCCAAACTGCAGTCCAGAAAAGTGGGTTAAGCCCTGTTCATTCAGCAGCAGATGGCCAGAATTCGCAGTGTCTAGAGCTCCTCATTGAAAATGGTTTTGATGTCAATACTCTCTTGGCTGAACACATTTCAAATAGTTACGATGACGAAAGGAAAACTGCACTTTATTTTGCTGTTTCTAACAATGACATTCTTTGCACCGAAATATTGCTCAAAGCAGGTGCAAATCCAAACAAGGATCCTTTAAACTGTCTCCTTGTGGCAGTGAGAGCTGGCAACCATGAAATTGTAAGGCTGCTCCTATCTTACGGAGCGAATGTGAATTGCTACTTTATGTTGGTTAATGATACACATTTCCCCAGCGCCATTCAGTATGCTCTGAATGATGAAGTGATGCTGAGGCTGTTGCTCAATCATGGATATAATGTGGAGATGTGTTTTGACTGTATGCATCAAGATATCTTTGGAAATTCTTTTGTGTGGTCAACTCCAGAGGAAGAGATTCTCCCTGGGTGGACTTCTTCTGTAATAAAGGATAATCCAGTAAATACATAACCTTCCTTCCTTCTCTTCCTTTTGATCTTTTCATTAGCCAGCTTTAAACATTCCAGATTATTGTGCAGAATTAAGATTTAACATACTGGCAAAATCCTTTTTTAAAACACCCTAAAAATAAAACAGCCATTTTTCATTTTCTGCTGTGAGATAGAGATTATATACAGAGTGGTTTTAGTTTGGGGCTCATATATTAGAGATCTAGGAAGGAAGTTTTAAGAAATCGTGAGGCAGGTTCTGGAATTTCTGTTCCTATCCTAACCAATGGAGTAGATGTGTTTCCAAAGAGATATCACTGTTGAACAAAACAGTGCTGCAAATTACAGCAATGTTACAATAATTATTGGCCTTCAGGCCTGCCCAGATGAATTAAGTGATCACAAAAGTTAAGCATGGAGGAAAATGGCTTTTAAAGTAACCTACCTAGGCATCAGTTTATGACTGTTAAAGGTCATTGCTAATAATTTGTTTAAATTATCTTGTGTAATTGCTTTAAAATGTGTTATTTTGGCATTCCTCTGCACAGATTTTGAAATTATGACTTGATGTGTTTTCCCTTTCAGTTCTGTGATTTTATTGCTGTTCCTTGGTTGAAACATTTAGCAGGAAAAGTGGTTCGTGTTTTTATAGATTACGTGGATTATGTTCCTTTATGCACAAAGATTAAGTTTGTCTTAGAAACACAGAAAGAATGGACAGAGATACGTCAGATATTGGGTAAATATCTAACTACCAGTTACTGATGTTATGATTTATTATAGGAGACGTTAATTGCTTATGTCAGGTGACATTCATCCAAAGTGTTTTAGCAGTCCAAATGTGTACTAGCTAAGAACCAGGTTGTGCCTGTCATGCAGTCCGCAGGTTGAGACAGATCTTTACCTATTGCCACTGGTCATGAATTAGTTAATTGGACTGGAATATGGCAAACTTGCACCTGGTGAGAATTAATCTCATAAGGAATGTCACTGTTGTGTGGGAAGCCCTTTTAGTTAAGCAAGACCACTGAAGTACTTCTCAAACTCCTTATTAACCCATGTGACACCAGTCATTGCACAGCTATGGGGCATAACATTTTATATTGAGGAATACTGCTCACACTTCCATCCTTCTGTTTGCTCTCTTGATCTCTCAAGTCTATTAATCGTTCAAGGATTAACGTAAGAGCATGTTTTAAATCCCATTATGTTTGAGGCGGCGGGTGACGAGTGTGCCATCGCAATCTGTGTACCATCATTTCCTCTCTCTGATTTACATGATAGACATCTAGAGTTGCCATTACTAATACTGTAATTGAATAATATTTCTTATGTATGCTTTACTTTTGAAGTTCTACACATTAGCCTGGACCTTCCACCACTGGTGGCACCAGAAAGAGGTTTCACCCACCTTAACTTAAAAAAATCTGTTGGGGAATGTATTGAATGTTCTCTTTGCATGAATTAATTTTGACTTTTTATTTTCTTTTAATTTTAAATAGAATTTTATTTAACATCAGCTGTTAAAACCCAAAAATATTTAGGTTTAAAACTGGTACCCTATATTTAATTTTGCTTCAGTATTTTACTGAAAGCATTCAGAGGAACTCCTTTTTTTTACTGTCACAGGAACGTACAAATAATTTGGTAGTCTTAACTACTGGTATTTCAAATGTGGTGAAAGTTTTTGTTATGTTCAGGAAGGCTAAATTAACTGAGCTCTCTGACTGATGTAAATTCTGATGAGAAGTATTTGTTTAGAAGGCTGAACACACCCAAGCATGGTAAGGTCTGGTCCTGGTGCCGTATTGATACAGCAGAAATGGAAGGTGCCATGGCTGGCCTCAACATGCAAATTTTAAAAGGTGCATCTGGGGAAAGGAGAGATCGTTCATCAGTTACCATTGATTATGCTAAAGAAAGCCCTGGTTTAGGTGTTCAGATGGGTCTTTGGAGATGGAGTACAGTGTGCATATTTCCAAAAGTGAGACAATAATGTTAAGCAGATATCTGACAGAAGAAGTTTGATTAATATCAGCATTGTGTATCATCACAATTCTGAAGTGAAAAGAATGGTATTTTATTCAGAAGTGGCAAAATAATAATGCTCCAAGGTAATAGATTTTGATATTAATTTTATTAGAGCATATTTTGAGATTGAGAACTGGCTTACAATCATTGTTAATGGCATTGATTTTTCCACTGTTTCTCTCTCACTATTATTTTAGATAATCCTCGCCCATTGAAACATCTGTGTCGTCTGAAAATACGTAAACTCTTGGGGTTAAGGAGACTCCAGAGACTGTCATCCATGAAGAAGTTTCCACTTCCACCAGTTCTCAAGAACTATATCCTATATAAAGAATATGATCTGTATGGAAAAGGGATACATTTAGAATAGTTTTTAAAAATAACTGCATACAGTCTGTGATTTGACTTATTTCCTCACTGTTTTCTACTAGCTAAAGAGCTGCTTGGTGTTTCATATTCATTCACAACATTCTGATATTTGTTGTAGAAAGCTCTTTTATGGGAACAATTTTTTTTTCAAAAGTAGTATGTTAAAGCTCATGTTTTAACATAACATTCTACTGTCCAAGTATAGGCTAAAATCAGAATAAGGACGCTATAATAATTGTGTAGAACAGTACACTCGAAATGGGAATTCAGATGAATAAAGGATAAAAGAAGAATTTTTGTGATGGACTTCCCAATGAAGATGATCAATACAATTGCTGCTCTCAGTTTGTGGCATTAGTTTATCTGTAAAAGAAAATAAATGTCTAATGTAGCTTGGCAAAGAAAATTAAACCACTAAATGCACGTCTCTGTCATGTAATTGGCCTGAAATGTAGCACATTTTGTACTTTGAAGATCATGATCCTATTACAAAATTCTCCAAACACTTAAAAGATTCTTTTTAGCTATTTTTGCAAAGTGTTTGCTCCCAGATACGACTGCTGTGTGTGCCAGTACTGCATGTTTCAAGGGTTGGCAAAATTTGAGGGACCTTAAGTAGGCTGTTTTAAAGAAAGAGTAGATTTTGATGGACAAACAAACCAGGAAGTTGACCAGCATATCCCTTTGGTTGAGAAATGTTGCAATGTCATAACTTTAGTTATGGTTCCTGCAGAGTTTTGACAGATCACTTCTCAACCAAACTAAACACCACCCTCAGTCATGCCGTGATGCACTTGGCAGTATGCTTCTGCACATCTAGAGAAAAACACATCTGATTAAATATTCTTTAAATTGTTCTATTAAAAGTGGATTGCCCTTACTCTCTTTGCTGTTCTACCATCCCTTCCATCTTGAGGGGAAAAAAAAAAGAATCCAAACCCCCTAAACTAAGAAAAGATTTCAGTTGGTGGATGTCAGAATTACGTAGTGCGTAGTCAGGGTTTAGCTAAACATGTAATTTAAGATACACTGGTCATCACACACATACATACGCTCACACCAAACGTCAGTTCAAGCATCCTTCTGCTCTGCTCCCTACACTGGCTCTCCCTGTTCTTCAGAACTTCTTCTTACTTGTTGGATGTCATTGTCATATATAATTTATTAACGCCTCAGCCAGAGATGTAAATTCTACTTCCAAAGGCAGCTATATCAGCCCTTTGTGGGTCTGTCCTTCCTCACAGCAGATTTACAGGAGCAAATGGAAGGAGTGTGAATCACTGCTCTGGGACATGCAGAGGGTTGAACAGAAGGTTTAATTGCTGCTTCTGCTCTCGCTAGGGCTACTATTCATCTGGCTTTCCAAGATATGTCTTCTGGTTTTTTGCCAGAAATTTTGACCAGGATGAAAAAGAAGAATTTGGTCACCTGTGAAAAATTTCTAGGTATCTGGCATCTGGGCCAGGCCCTTGTCAGGAGAGTGCCCCGGGTGACTGGTGACTGCAGGCATGGCTCGAGCGGAGAGTGCCCAGTGAACCCAACGCAGCTGTCTGCAGGCAAGGCTCCACTGGCCGATACATCCTGGACATACCAGGCTGAATGCGTGTATGCTGCATAACCTATAAACTGGTATTTCTGTGTGGGAATTCCTAAAGAGAAATACAGGCTTAATAATAAGAAGTCTTAAATAGCAGCAATTTTAATGAATACAGTGACCATAACACAAGAATCTGGGTAGTCACATATCTGATACAGTATACTGCAACCAGCAAAGGAAACATGATCAAATAGGGCTTTAGACAGGAGATTTTAAACCCTTTCTGTGGCTAGAGCCAAATTCCATTAGTAATTTTAGTTCATAGGCCAAGGTTTATATTTAGGACTTCATACACGCCTCAGGCAATAGTTACATTGCCCGTGGCATCAAAGCATTCAGCTCTAGGACAGAGCATTGCCCCAAGTGTTTAAAATATCATGAACTAGTCCTTAGAATATCGTTAGGTGAGCTAAAAAGACATGGTATTATTGTGTTTGTCTTTTAAACAATACATCTGGGCCCTTTTTGTTGTTTGGCAGCCTGTTATAGGAGGTGGCCTAATCCTGTTTTAAAGCCTTTCTGTCCTTCAACATTAAAGTTGTTTATTTATTGAAAACTTCCCCCCTACCCCCCATGCTAAAGGAAGTGCAACATTATGAGAAAGCATCTTTAATGCTTTCAAGGCATCTGTGAACTGAATGGAGGCAGGAGGGGCAAGACATTCAAATGGAATATAAGGTGAGACAGACACGGAAAGGGAGCTGTTTACCCCAGGACATGCTTATGGCACAGCTAGGAATTGAACACAAGTCTTTCAACTCCCATGTGTTGCAGCCAGACCACTGAATACTAGTTTTATGGAGCTGAGTACGTGCTGGTGGTAGCAGGAAATGTTACTGGTCCAGGATCGGTGGTTGTGTGAAAAGAGGCAAAGGCAGCAGCCCCAGCTGGAAGAAGAAGTTGGTAGGAAAAAAATTACTCCTTTTTTCCCTGCTTAGACTGTGATTGAACCCTTGCAACACTGGGATTTAATTTTCTCTGCTATTTGGGTGTGACTCATGGGGTGTTCCACCGCAACCCAATTCCATGGCATGTCCACCCCATGGATGGTGTTGGCTAGAAGTAATTAAATGCCCTGGCATTGATTCAGGCATGCTCTGGGGTAGGGACTCCTATCGGTTTGGGGAAAATACTTGAAAGCAGAGGTATCATTTGGTCTCTGTTTCTCATAAAATCTGACACAAGCAGCTGCACCAGACTGATGAGCTCTCTAAGGAGCCAGACATTCAACAGTGGTTACGTCAGCCTTTGCAGTACCAGCAAGATGGACTTTGTAGCTGTGTTTTCATAGCTCGGTGAAGGACCGAACCATAGCCATGAGTTCTGTATATGACCAGCTCTTTCCTGTAGGGCCGATAATGTCTTGTGCCTTCCATAAAACTTCTGTGCACTAGCGACCATCTAATCTTGGGAGCCGGCACAGCAGATCCTTGTTACGGGTATAAAGGGGGAACAATTTTACTGTTTCACTGCAGCAGTCGGTGTTCTGGCTCGGGCTCTTTGTGCCTGAGCTGCCCTTTCTCAGGCTATTGCTGATAGTATGGGAGTCGTGCATGGAAAAACACAGTCGCAAAGCTCTTGTGTGTGTACCCTGGTGTAGGGCAAAGGGATTTTTTCTGACCCTTACTTGGGGTAGAAAAAAGGCTTCTAAAATTTCCAGCTGTTTATGGTTTGCATGGAGAAAAGTGGCATAAATTCACGAGCACTTATCTCTGTAGAATAGGTCTCATCTCTTTTGCTTTTCCATCACTCCCTTTAATACGCCTAATCAACAGTCTCTTGCCCTCACCTCTGTGTCTTCTGTGTAGCCAGCTTTGGCTCCCTGGTGTACTCTGCCTGCTGAATTAGTCCTTTTGAAGCCTTCCTCCACTTTTTTTTTTTTCCTTTGAGCCTTAGGACAGATAGATATCTGCTCAGGAAAATGGTATCAAGAAAAGTAATTCCAGCCAAAGTGATGTTCAGCCTTAATGCACCTATTCTGGCTTGTTCTCTTCCTGACCTTTCCACTGGAAATTGTTTGTTTAGGCTGCAGTAATTAAAACTGGCACCTTACCACCGAAGGTGTTTATCCTTCAGAGGCCTTTTCTGCACCCTACAGATAATGACCTTGATTCAAAAATACACCGTCTGTCTCCAAATGCATGGAGCAGTTTTCAAAGAAATCCATCCCAATTCTTTACCAGGACAAATGCTGGATAAACCAGAAAGAAGTACATGGGTAAATGCACCAAATTACTGTATAAATATTTAAAGGTATATATTGCAATGGGAAGCATTTTCTCTCTGAAATGCTCCCTTAAGTGTCACTCACACCATCAGAAGAGGTGCTTAGATCAGGAGAAATATTCCCTGAGGAACCTATGTTTCATGGTTCTCCTGAAAAGCTGTAAAAATATGTTAGTAAATTGTTAGTAGTCTTAAGAGTGATATAACAGTGTAGCTCTGGTGACATGTACAAGGTATTTACATTTGATTTTCAAAATTCACATCTTCAGTAGAAATCTCTACATTTGATCAGGCAAAACCATTGCCTTTTTTCTGCATATTATGCGCATGGTAGATATGGTGCCCAGAACTTCCATCATCATTAATATGGACTATTTAAAAAATAGACATAAATAAAGACAATAAAGTAGAGAATTTACTTAGTATTGCTGCCTTGTATTTAATTCCCTATGAACTACATCACTTGTTCATATTGCTGGGATCTCCTTTTTAAAAAAAATCTTCATAAACACACACTTAAAAAAAAGTGACAAAAACCAAGGAAATGCTGAATGTAGAAGTAAGTACCTGTGTTGCTGTCAGCGTATAAAGAAATAGAGCACATTTTTTATCTGAATGGCAAACTGTAGGTTTGGCTAAGCTACATGGGAGAACTATCTGGGACTAAGGTATTCAACGAAGGATTAAGTCCATGCACTTTTTAAAATCAATTAGAATTTAATAATTGCCGGACCTGGACATGCAAATATGGTATATTTGCAAATACCACCACAAATAATATAATGCTTACATTGGCAGATGTTACCTATTTTATCATGCTTTTTCGGGAAAGAATAGGCTAGCTGCAGATGCCTAAATGGCATCGCATTCAAACTGCACTTCCAAACCCCACATTTTTTGTACATGCAGCAGTTCCTCTGCTACTTTCTTTGCAATACAGTGGCCTCTACTTCCTGTCCAAACCTGTTGAGCAATATCGCAATGTAATTCCAAACAGCTGCTGTGGTCACCCTATGTCTGTACATCAGTAGCGAGTGAAATGATTTCTATATATAGTTTGTAAATCTGTTGGCAATGTTTGTAAAGCACACTGAGATTCTTCCTGAGGGATAAGAGCAGCTATATGAAAGCAAGAGCATTAAGATCATCGTTGTGTACGAGGCAGTTTATCTTTCTGA